CAAATTCTGGAGGCAGGTTATTCCACTGATTAATTGTTCTAACTGTCAGGAAACTTCTCCTTAGTTCTTGGTTGCTTCTCTCTTTGATTAGTTTCCATCCATTGCTTCTTGTCCTGCCTTCAAGTGCTTTGGAGAATAGCTTGACTCCCTCTTCTTTGTGGCAGCCCTTGAGATATTGGAACACTGCTATCATGTCACCCCTTATCCTTCTCTTCGTTAAACTAGACCAGTGATGGCGAATCTTTTAGAGACCGAGTGCCCAAACTGCAACCCAAAACCCACTTATTTATTGCTGGGTGCCAGGTGGGTGTGGCCCACTGGATGGGTGTGGCTGTCCTGGCTGGCTATCCTGGCTGGCTGAGGAATTCTGGGAGTTGAAGTCCTCAAGTCTTAAAATTGCCAAGTTTGAAGACCCCTGCTCTGATTGGTATTTGGAATTATTTTATCATAATGTGATTAAAGCTGTCAGCCTAGACCCAGAACCGTTTACGGGAAATGTGACGGATTTACATCTCAACTTGGCTACTGGCCCATCTTCAAACATAATGGGAAATGAGAGCTGCAGGTAATAATAATAATAATAATAATAATAATAATAATAAAGTTGGAAGGGACCTTGGAGGTCATCTAGTCCAACCCCCTGCTCAGGCAGGAAACCCTATACCCGTGGTGGCGAACCTATGGCATGCGTGTCACAGGTAGCACACAGAGCTCTCTCTGTGGGCATGCAAGCTGTCACCCGTCCTAGGCCTTCAGCTGGGTTTTATAACCTTTTTGCTTTAGGCCTCTGGCACCATGTGGAAAAAAAAAAAAGGTTCAATCAATTAATTTCAACTTCTCGCGGGGAAAAAAAAGATTTCGCAAAGTTGGAATTGATTGATTGAATTTTTTAGTCCCACCAGTCTGCTGTTACCACCACAGCCACGCCCACCAAATGGGCCATGCCCACCCAAAGGGCCACACCCACCCGAAGGGCCACGCCCACCTGGCACCCGATGATACATAAGTGGGTTTTGGGTTGCAGTTTAGGCACTCGGTCTCTAAAAGTTTTGCCGTCACTGCCCGAGTGTGCTAGAATGAGGTGGTCCCGCCGAAAGGCATTGAAGTACATTACATGGTTATTTCTCCGCCAACAGCAGGGGGAGCTGCTGCTGTCTTGACTCAGGTCTAAGGAACCTCCTGTTAAATGAATCATCCAGAGGGCTCGTTGAGACTTTTCGGTGATTGATTTAAATTCCCCTTGTGTTTAATAATAATTTCTCTGTCGATCTAGCACCTCCCCCCACACACATACATACTTCCAATCCTGATCATATAAATAACAGCTTGGTTAATGTTTCCGTTGTACAAGAGTATACTAATATATGAATTTTAACACTAGACAGGGACCCTGGTTGACAGTGGGTTTATGTGGATTTTGACAGCTGAAAAGGCCATATGCATTCCAGGCAAGCTTTCAGTGAGCAAATGCCAGACATGCAGATGCTGGGTTCATCCATGCATCCTGCTTGCTCTAGGGCAGGCATTCTACTTTTGTTGAGGAGGGAAATGCACATCACAGATCACAGAATAACCCCCTGCTCAAGCAGGAGACCCTATACCATTTCAGACAAACGGCTGTCCAATCTCTTCTTTAAAATCTCCAGTGTTGGAGCACCCAAAACTTCTGGAAGTAAGCCCCTCCACTGACTGATTCCAGCAACCATTCTTTATCTGTTTTAGCCTCCAGTCCTCTAACCATCTTTGTTGCTCTTCTCTGTACTCTTTCTAGAGTCTCAGCGTCACAGCCCACCAAAAGGGGGTTTCAGCCCTTCTTGTCTTGCTCCTCTTTAGTGCTATTTTGCAGTTTCTGCTAGCCCCAGAAGAAGGTCCTTCAAATCAAACAAAAGGTTTTTATTTATGGGTGGGAGACTGTCTGTTTGCTACTGTGGGCACATCCTCCATTTCAAAACCCCGACCCTATCTTGCGAGGCACATGAAAGCTTTTCACAGTTGCCCTCTTGAGGTTTTATGCTCTGTGGGCACCCCAAAAGAGTAATAGAATTTATGGGTGGGGGATATAACTGGCCAGCACCCACTTTTTTCTGCCCACAAAGTTTCTGTTCTGTATATCAGTGTGTCTCAGCCTTTGCAACTCTAAGTTGTGTGGACTTCAACTCCCAGAATTCCTTAGCCAGCCTTGCTGGCTGGGGAATTCTGGGAGTTGAAGTCCACATATCCTAGAGTTGCCAAGGTTGAGAAATTCATGCCCTATACTATAGTTTGCCACATGGTGGTGAAGTGCAAGTCCGTCTCTCTAGTATTGTCATCTATTGGGTAACATTGGCAACTCTAAGATATGTGGCTATCTAAGATATGCGGACTTCAGTCGTGTGAAATCATCTCTCCCATAGGAGTATCTGGAGGAAATAGTCAAAAGAATCAAGATTGTAGCTATGATGGAACTGAAGCTCTGCCTTAAAGCTGATGCACTTAAAAATGGATCAATTGCATTGTTATGGCTGCCATCTTGATTCTTTTTTAACCATACCTTGTAGATATCCCTGTCTCTGTGATATGGCCACTCCATTGTTTTTATATTTTAGATACCTTTTCAATCAAAAGTTGACTTTCGCATTACACTCCTCCAATATCTGTCTGTTTAGCAAACTGTTGTTATTTTGCATAGTTGCTTTTTATTAAAATGATACTACTTTGGAAAATTTTGGCAGTCTACTTTGCAGAGGGTGTTCTGTCCCACCATATAGGTTAGTGAGCAGAATTAAGTGCTGCCTTTCCAATTAGATTCCCCCCAGGAGCTCTGTATAATCCAACAGGTAGCTTTATATAGGATTTTACCAAATGGCAAGGAAGTGGGTTTGTTCCCAAATCATTTGAATAGAATAGAGTTGGAAGGGACCTTGGAGGTCTTCTAGTCCAGCCCCCCCATTTAAGCAGGAGAACCTACACCATCTCAGACAGGTGATTGTCCAGTCTCTTCTTAAAGATCTCCAGTGATGGGGTGCCCATGATTTCTGCCAAGCTGTATTTCCTTAAAGCACAGAATTACAGAATAACAATGTTGGGAGGGACCTTGGAGGTCTTCTAGTCCAACCTCCAGCTCAAGCAGGAGACCCTTTGCCATTTTAGACAAATGGCTGTTCAATCTTTTCTTTAAAACCTCCAGTGATGGAGCACTTCCAACTTTTGAAAGCAAGCCCTTCCACTGATTGATTGTCCTCACTGTCAGGAAATTTCTCCTTAGTTCTAGATTGCTTCTCTTCTTGATTATTTTCCACCCATTGCTTCTTGTCCTTTCAGGTGCTTTAGAGAATAAGTTGACCCCCTTTCCTTTGTGGCATCCCCTCAAATATTAGAAAACTACTATCATGTCCCCCCAATCCTTCTTTTCATTAGACTAGACATACCCAATTCCTGCAACCATTCTTCATGTTTTAGACTTCAGTCCCCAATCACCTTTGTTGCTTTTCTCGGCACTCTTTCTAGGGTCTCAACATTTTTTTTGTATTGTAATGCCAAAACTGGATGCATATTATCTCTTTGTCCTCCTTGCCAACTCCTTTTGTAGGAATCCATCTGTAACAAAAGGATGCATCAGCTGGCAGGGTGACCGAAAGTCAAAAAAATCAATATGGCAACCATAACCAAACAATTGAAGCTCCCAAAGTATTTGAGGGCTTCACTTGCATAATTGTGGCTGTCACCTTGATTTGTTTTACCTCCCTATGATCACTTCTGATGGGCAAACCCCTTTAACTTGGACTTGAATCCCCCCCCCAGTTCCTTAAAATGGCCCTGTAAATGGCTGGCTAGAGGTTCCTTTTTTTGCAGAGGCAGGAGTGATAACCACAAAAGGACACATCAATCAGTCTGATTGTCCATTAATCCCAGGATCCAGTTTATCTGCCTGCTGATAGCTGAATAGTTTTAAGAACCTGTATCAGAAATGCCCATTAATTATTTTTAAGGATGCCCTTTCTGTCAGCAGCTCTTCTGACAGTGAGCCAACGGGGTTAAATTCTTAACTGTACAATAAGGAGTGACAATAATGGATTGCCACTGCAACTCTGGGCCTCGTGTCATGCATCTTATTTCCATCCTAAGAATCTACTTGAATCCAGCAGGAACTGCTTTTAGGACGTCTACATAAGACTATCTCTGTGAAATGCCCCGTTATTATCCAATATATGTTTACTTGGAATTAAATTCCATGGCAATCTCTGTGCACCTTAAGATTTGATTCATGCTTAGCCAGTCGGAGTATTGGCTTAATAAGTTAAGCAAAGTCAGTTTGCCATGGTTTGTAAACCCAGTTCAATTTTCTTGGCTTCTAATGCTAAGGCATAAAGGAGAACAACTCTGTATCAGTACTTAGCCTTAATTTTCACTGGGATTCTTTCTGAGATTTAAACCTAGCCGACACCTTGCTTTTAAGTTTTGGTTTATTTAGTAGTGGTTTTTAAACAGGCTACAGGACTGGATTGCTTGCAGACGTTTCATGATCCAAGTTGGTAAACGAGGGATTTGTTGCCAGTTTTGTTGTCAGTTTTGCACTCATGAAGTTGGGTCATGAAACGTCCGCAAGCAAACAACAAGCTCAGAGAGCACCAGGAACCCCGCAACCACAATCGCCGGCATTTACCCAATGCAGATCAGTCCGGAAGCTGGATGCCCGGGTCTCATAAAGCTAAAACCAAACAAATCACCTGCCGAGGAAGATCATCGGGCTCTCCCACCCCCATGCCCATCATCCCCTGCCAAGGAAAGCCTGCTTCGGGAGTTGCAATCCAAACCCTCAGGCGGACGCGGCGTGGGCGGACTTCACTTGGAGCCACAAGTCACAATTCGGAAGCATGAAAGGGCTCCTGTGGGCAGCGAGAACGCCACTCCTCCAATCACAGCTGAAAGTGTTCCTCGCGACCACGCCTCCTTCTCTCTCTTCGTCTTCTGATTGGCCGAGCCATAAAAACCGGGCACGAGTGCGCCTTTCCTATACCCCATATATAGAGAAGAACCGGGCAAGGCTGCGTGGAAATGCGGGAGGATCTTGAGTTAGTGGTCTTTCCACTCGCTGTTTCAGGTCTCGTTTCCAATTATTCTTCATTGCTGTTGTTATTATTTTTAAGTGTCTTCATCACGTTGGGCATCCACCCAGCAAGTCCGCCGCCACCGATTAAGGCCATCCGACGCTAGTGTTTCATTTTCGCGGTCCTTCTTCCCAGGCGGTGTGCGATTAGCCATGGCTAAAAGGAGCTCCTTGTTTATTCGAATAGTGGAAGGGAAAAATTTGCCAGCCAAAGACATGTAAGTAAAAAAAACAGACTCGTGTCCTGGCCCCGCACGCTTGTTGTGCACCTCTTTATTTGCCCAGCTTTATTTACACCTCTTTATTTGCCCAGTTTGCCGGTTTCTGCGATGGGTCTTCCGCAATAACCCTCAATGTGTTTACTCCGAAGGATCCTCTACTGACTTAGATCGTGTATTCCTTGGCAAGCCTAGTATATTGGACCCCTTTGCAGAGCAGCCCGCAGTCTTCTTCGCCCATCCTGGTGGGCGTTAGGGAGTTTCTTGCTAGCTTAAAGTGGGGAGGGGAAAGAAGGACCGGGTGGTCCTTACGCTTGAATAACTTTGCAATATTTCCTTGGACTCAACCGGTCCTTGAGGAAAAAACGCGCCACTGGAGCTTTCCTTGTTCTTTTTTCTTTCTTTCTGGGGCTCAGCTGAGACATTTGCAACTGTCTTTAAAATCGAAAAGTGCAGAGTGAGGTAGACTTTTCCTCTGACGATGCATGTGTATTAGTATCTTTGTGGGAGACTTAAGAGACATTGACTCCATCAGTTGCCATCTTCTGAGGTATGGATTCTGGTCTCCCACTCTCCAAATCCCATAATAATACTGCAGCCTGAACTGAGAAATCATCTTGGGGTGTCCAACTGTATTCCCTCATCCAGCAAGTGTCCATCCACATCATAATAGCCGTTAAGATAATTTGCTGGGATTTCTAAACCTCTGCAGATTTCCAAGATAGCTCTTGTAATCTAGTTCTGCAAATTCAGATGGAAGCTTGTGGCATCATCTAAAAGGTTCAGGATGGTATGATGTGTTCCAAAGCTGGTTATGCTTGTGATTTTGGGAAAGCTGCTACTTTTGGTCCTTCCATTAGATTATAGCTCAACCAGTTTGGTCTGTTATGGATTCAGTGTGGAAGGGATGTTCAGAAATGGTTAGTCCAATCAGCAGGTTAGGTGTGTTGAGTGAACACAGACAATGAAATGGCTGTCAAAAAAGGTAAACACTTTTTTTTTTTTGCAAGATCTTTAAAATCAGGGATTCGTTTGTGTTAGATTTCAACCAAGCTCTTGGTTCTCCTTTTCTTACTGAAATTGGGAATTAATGATCCTTCTTTTTAGAATTTCAGCATTATTTGATGTTGGAGGAACAGAAAGAGAAGAAACTATGGCTATCTAGAAGGAAATATGGAGTAACAAAAGTGAGAAAATGCAGCAATTATTCTCTATTATCTTGCATAGATTCCCCCTGAAGGAAAAATAGTTGGATTTAGAATTGTCTTTGCCTGGGTTTTAGGAAATAATCATGGAATTGGGAGGGTCCTCAAGGATCATCTAATTCAACCCTCTGCAATTGCAAGAAAACCAATCAAATTATCCTCAGAGGGTTGTTATTTGGATTCTTCTTAAAGACCACCAGAAATGAGGTTTTTTTTTCCATAGGATAGATGATTTTTCTGCACAGGGGAATCAGCCAGGAATTTAAGGTGAAACCATAAAATGACTCTCTTTCCCAACTATCAAATATATCTATATCTATATAGTTATATCTATATAGCTATATCTATATATCCAGGGCTTTTTTTGTCATAGAACAGAGTTCTGGTACCTTTTTTTGACAGATTTTCCAGAGTTGCCTTGAACAAAATCCTAGTTTTTTAAATACACTAAAAATTGAAAGGGTTTTTTTCCAACTACAAAGATAAACCTTGTAGGGTAGGCAAGGTGGATTGTATGACGTGTGAGTTCTGGCACCTTTTTTTTTTTTTTTTACAAAAGTACTATATCTATCCATTATTATCTACAATATATATATTTCAGTAACCTTATGTTCTGGAGGTTGGATATTAAACCAGAAGACCCTGAGCTTGAATCCTTCCTTGGATACAAAGCCAACATGGTCCAGTCACTCCAAGCCCTAGGAATGAGGCAAGGGCAGATCATTTCAGGAAAAACCTTGCCAAGAAATCTGCAGGGAGTTATCCAGTACAGTTATCTTACAACCATTTGTTTAGTGACTGTTTGAAGTACCAACGGCACTGAAAAAAGTGAATTATGGTCATTTTTTCATGCTTAGGACCGCTTGCAGCATCTCTGTGGTCATATGATCAAAATTTGGACACTTGGCAATTGGCATGTATTTAGGATAATTGCAGTGTCCCATGGTCATGTGATCACCTTCTGACAAAGAAAATCAATGAGGAAGCCAGATTCACTTAATAACCATGTTACTGAATTAACAACTGCAGTGATTTGCTTAACTGGGGCAAGAAAGGTTATAAAAAGGGCAAAATTCACTTAAAAACTGTCTTGTTTAGCAACAGAAACTTTGGGGTCAGTTGTGATCCTAAGTCGAGGACTAACTGTAGTTGCTAGGAGTCAACCCTTTCTTGTAGGCAGTCATCCCCCCCTCCAAAAACGCCTGGAGAAAGCATAAACAATGGGGAGCCAAAATGTTTAGAGCAGGGGTAGGCAACCTTGGCTCTTTTATGACTCGTGGACTTCAACTCCCAGAATTCCTGAGCCAGCATGAAGTCCACGAGTCATAAAAGAGCCAAGTTTGCCTACCCCTGGTTTAGAGGTGGTTCTCATGGAACTGAAAGAGAGCAGAGTTTTGAGACTTCTTGGGAAGCAGAGAATTGTGATCAGTTTTTCTTTTCCTCTCGAAAATGTCGAAAGCATTATCAACTGGAACCAAATATTGTCAAAAATCAACTGGAACCAAATGTTGAGGAGATTCAAGATTCAAGTAAATATTTTCTCCCTTCAGTGAGGAGTTAGAATGAGAAATTCAATGTACTCAGAGGTGCCCATAACCATCAGCTGAAAGGGTTCTAAAAGGCGGGACAAGGGAGAATCAGCTCCTAGTTTCGAGGGTGTATTGGCATTCCGTCTTCTGACCACAGAATGTCTTTGATTAATTATGGTGGAACAAAGCAAGGTCTTGGCTTTAACCTAGACAAGCTTTTTTCACATTCTTGCCCTTTCAACTGTTGGGTAAGATAAATCTGTCTTGATGATGTGGACAGCACAAGCGCTCAATAGACAATAATAAATGACAAAATCACCATCAGTCAATTGCAAAAGCTTTATTCAGAACAGCTTACCTCGTGCAACAATACATCAAGTGTCCACATCTGCCTATCCTTGGGAAGGACTCGACAGGTGGATAAAATACTAAATTCAGTCTGAACATCTGGCTGACTTTGCGACAAATCATAAAAATACTCAATTTAAGCAGAAGATACATTAGATATACATATATCTAAAATGTATGTATACATATATGGAATAACTACAGAATAGAATATTCTTTTATTGGCCAAGTGTGATTGGACACACAAGCAATTTGTCTCTGGTGCATAAGCTCTCAGTGTACATACAAACAGCAAAACGATAATCATAAGATACCGATAGGAGAAAATAATAGGAAAGATGAAAAAATATTATTTATTTATTTGGTTTTGATGCTACCTATTCCTGCAATTTGCTGTACTGTTGAGAGTGGAAAATCCCTAATTCAAGCACAGACAAACATAATATATGAACAAATCATTACAGGATATCAGTTTTTTATATTCTTTCAGTGTTGTATAATGATTCTTTTGACTGTTCCATTTACACAATTCTTGATGTCTTAGTAAATTTCAAGTACTGAATTAGTGTGTTTTTAAAAATATTTTTTATATAAATCCCTGAGAGCCCCTTTGAAGTCGACAGTATCCAAATCAGGTAATAAACAGGAATAGTCAAGAATATTTATATTCTTTACTTGCAAAAATTTATTTAAATTTATGTTAAGAATCCTGTGGATTTTAGCCAAAATATGGTAATAAGAAGATGAGCCCCAGCTAAATGGATTAATGCTGCAATCTTTTGGAAGGCATTTCTAACAGTTCTAAAATTGCCTCTAATTCTCAGGAAATATTTTCTGAGACTTAAAACAAAAACATTTCAAGATAAAAGCCTATTTTCATATTTTAAAAAGAAAAACAAGACATCGAAACTCCTTATTCCTACAAATGTGCCGATAATTAATTTCAACCTCATTTACTGTAGTTCTTCAACTTCAGCCATTTGTCTGAAATAGTATAGGGTTTCCTGCTTGAGCAGGGGTTGGACTAGATCAGTGGTTCTTAACCTGGGCGATATTGCCCCCCAGGGGGCGATTTCATTTTTCAGGGGGACGATGGAACAAAAAGAGGCGACATGGGAGCGAAGGAACGAAAAGGGGGCGACATGGGGGCGATGGAGCAAGACGTTTTGGGGACACTTTTGAGCCTTCCCCTGCGGCTCCAAGCCTCCTTCGTCATTTGCAGAAAGAGAGAGACAGAGAGAGGCACTTGTGCTTCTCTCTCTTTCTCTCTCTCTCTCATGTGGATATGCCCCCTCGCAGGGCTCCTGATTGGCCCTGCGCCCGGGTGCCCTGCCTCCTGGGAGAAGCACGGATAGGAAATCCCTTTTCCTGGCTGGCCCCATCTGAGGAGCACGTAGCCGGGGAACTGCACGGGGAAGCACCGGGATCCCTGCTGGAAGCAGCCCACCAGAGCCTCAGCTGAGCAGGCCAGCCTTTCCGCAAGCCACGGCCCCGAGGGAGAGCAGCTTCTGCGATCCCCAGCCGCGGGACCATTGGCCCAGCTGGCTGGGAAGGCGTGCCGGAGTCCTGGCTGCTTTGTTGGCGAAGAATGTGAGGTGAGCAGAAGATGGGGGGGAGAGAATGGGAGCGGGGAGGCATTTTCCAACCAGCAGCAGAAGAATCCCAGCCGGACCCGCAGGAGCGCCTCCTCCTGGGGCCCGGCACTGGCTTCCTTGCCCTCCTCCTCCTCCCCTTCTTCCTGCTGCCCCCCGGGCGGCAGTCCCAGCTGGGGCACCGGCCGGTGGGGGCATTGCTCCCTGGGCGATGCTGGTGGGTCGCGGATCACTGGGAGTGCTGCACAGTGCAGAGAAGCCACAGCTCCTCCAGCACGATGGACCTACCGGCAGCATGGAAGGCTCCAACGTTGGTCCTGGTGGGA